TGCAACTTTTCATGGTTTAATAACAAGTTCGGCTGGTTTAATTCACACAAAAAAAAGCCACGAAACCTATATAATAGAATTGTATAACCTTTTTTAAATTGTCCCTTTCTATAAAAATACAGACTAGTTAATTAAATGCTATCATCTGCGGATGATAAAGCGACCGAAGCCTCGAAACGTCAAGATATTTTTCCTTGTTTAAAAAGTGCATTGGATTATTTTTACCTTCACAATCTCGAACATATTTACAAGCGATACACAGTCAAAAATTTAAAGTTTTTGTTGCAGTAAATGCAGATTGTGGAGTTAAACGAACCACTGGTTCGCCTTTAAAAAAGGCTCTGCTGTTGTGATGTTGAACCCAAAAATACGTTATAAAACCTAACATACAGTATCATAATCCTACAAAGTAAATCGGAAGAATATATTCTCGTAAGATGTCTGTTGTGCTGGAAGATAAAAAAACCAAAATGGCTACAGAAGTTGTAGTGCTGTCTGCACTTTTAAATCTGGCAAGAATATCTTCTTTGTCAAACTGTTTGACTTTTCAGCGGATAATTTTCGATTGGTATTAGTGTGAGCCAAGCTTCTTTACATTACAATTTCTTACTTACATGTTCGTCAATAGTGTAAGTCTCGACGTTTCTGTTTAAAAGCAAACCATCAATTTGAAGAATAATCTCACTTTATGAAAGAAAAAAGCGATGAAAGTTATTTTTGATTGTCTCCTGGGAATATTCAACGTTTAGATGGCAGAGAAAGGAATGCTCACGTTGATAGCAGAGAAAGGAATACTCACGTTTTCGGGCCAACGTCAAATTGACGTCACAGCTTGGGCCACCTGTGAGTAAATCTCAGTACTTATATAATAAAGAGCAGATTTTTGCCGTCCAAAAACACATCCAGAGAAAGCCCTCTCAACTGGTTCCTTTCACAACCGGTACATAATTGCGATATATCAACATAGTTGACTGGTAAATTGGCCACCGTAACGATTACAAAAGCTGACGTTTCGAGCGTTAGCCCTTCGTCGGTACATAATTGCGATTGGCTATAAATAAAATGTTGAGTGTTTTGAGATTGTTGGTGGTAGTTTGGCTTACCCATGCTAAAAACTTGGCGTTAAAGGCGTTTCGATCATATAAAAAGATGTATCTTATTAGACGTTTTATTGTGTACCGTTGTATCGCTAGTATTTTTACGGATTGTGCAGTATTTTGACGAGCCCGTAA